CCCCCCCCCCCCCCCCCACCCCTGCAGTAAATCGACCTGCCTCCAGCCCTGACACCATGACCACAGACCTGAACCTAACCTCCCTGCTGAATGTCACAGATCTCCACAATCAAACGCGAGGATGTTCCCTCACCAAGACAGGCTTCCAGTTCTACTACCTGCCCACGGTTTACATCATAGTCTTCATCATGGGGCTGGTGGGCAACAGTCTGGCCATTTGGATGTTCGTGTGCCACATGAGACCCTGGAGCAGCATCTCCGTCTACATGTTCAACCTCGCCCTGGCTGACTTCTGTTACGTTCTCTCGCTGCCGTTCCTCATCTTCTACTACTTCAACAAAACAGACTGGATATTCGGGGACATTCTGTGTCGTCTGCAGAGATTTATATTCCACGTGAATCTGTATGGAAGTATTCTGTTTCTGACCTGCATCAGTGTGCACCGGTACACCGGAGTGGTCCACCCACTCAAGTCTCTGGGTCGACTGAAGAAGAAGAACGCAGTCATCACCAGCGCGCTGGTGTGGGTGGTGGTCATCATAGGTATGTCCCCCATCCTTTATTATTCCAGGACCGCCTTGAAGCGGAATTCCACCACTTGTTATGACACCACCACTGTGGACGAGCTACCAGGCTACTTCATCTACAGCATGACTTTGACTGTTTTTGGCTTCTGCATCCCGTTCATCATCATTTTCTGCTGCTACGGCATGATCGTCAAGGCCTTGATCTACAACGACGTGAACAACGCACCGCTGCGGCAGAAGTCAATCTACCTGGTCATCATTGTGCTGGCCGTCTTCGCAGTGTCCTACCTGCCTTTTCACGTCATGAAGAACCTGAACATGAGGGCCAGGCTGTACTTTCAGAGCCCTGACATGTGTGACTTTAACAACCACGTCTACGCCACCTACCAGGTGACACGGGGGCTGGCCAGCCTCAACAGCTGCGTAGATCCTGTTCTTTACTTCCTGGCTGGAGATACCTTCAGAAGGAAGTTGTCACGAGCGACTAAAAAGACGTCCAGGAAGGGGGACACTGTCCTCCAGTCAAAAAGTGAGGAGACGGCATTGAACAGCTTGGCTGAGTACGTGGAAAATGGAGACCAGAGGCTGTGACAGGTCACTCCTGGTGTCCTGGACTATGAGTGGACATGTTTCAGCTCTAAAACTACTATCCACAAGGTCGTCTCTAAACAAATGCACTGTCTGGCCCACACAGCTGTGAGTAGACTTTACTGGAGGTTAGTTTATAGCACTGTGATAACCCATGCTTGCTTGCAGCCTGTGGATGTTGACAACTTGTGTTTTATCGTCCTGTACCGATGTTGTGTACTAAAATGTTGCTGCGATTACTCTTCATTCTGCTTACTGAAAACTCAAGAATGCACCTGACTTTACTGACCTTTCCTTTAGTCCAAGTCGAAGGATAGCAGAGCGATTTTTTTTTTTTAAAGTACAGACAAAAACTTCTTAAGGCGACTATTAGGACGGGCTTTCACAAATACACCACTTTACCTGAAATATTTGTAAGTACTCGATTGTTTCACCGTGTGAACATTTTCATCAGACCTTTTCTAAATTAGCAGTTTCACAAAAATATTCTACTCTGTTTAGATTTTTCATACTCTCTGAGAAAAACTCACCCTGATGTTTGGAACAGAAATTGAAGAGATTTCCTGATCTGTTCCTTTTATTTATTTACGTATTTATTTTTGTCTAATCTTCATGACAGTCCAGTATTTAGCTGCATGTCCTATCGGGTTCATCCGCTCACGTATCTAAACCAGCATCTTAATAGTACTGTCAGTGCTTCCGATGATAGTTCAGATCCCCGACCTGAGGAATGCTGTTAGTGTAAATATTTTTCAGTAAAGAAGAACAGCAGTAAATGATGTTTCAGCCCCAAACAGAGCACAAGGAGGTGGAGGGACGGCTTTCACTTCAGCTCAGTTGATTTAAGTATTTGAATCGGAGGGAAAAGGTTTTGAGGGATTAGAAGGTTTGAAGTGAAGTGAGGAGAGAAAGAGAACAATAAATGATGGAGCAGCAGAGAGGGAGGAAGACTGACAGCTGAAGAATGAAATATTTTCCAGGCTGGTCTGTTGGACTGCTGATAAGAGAGATTGGTGTTCAGAGACGGTGTCCTGCGTCTGTCTTGGTCTGTCTGTGCGTCTGCGTGATTAGGACCTCTTCTCTGTCAATGAAAGCGTGAACCGGACTTCACTCACCTGACCTGTTGATGCAGGTTGTCAGGTTTCATATTCACCTCAGGAGGAGGAAGAGCGATCATTGTGCTGGCCGTCTTCGCAGTGTCCTACCTGCCTTTTCACGTCATGAAGAACCTGAACATGAGGGCCAGGCTGTACTTTCAGAGCCCTGACATGTGTGACTTTAACAACCACGTCTACGCCACCTACCAGGTGACACGGGGGCTGGCCAGCCTCAACAGCTGCGTAGATCCTGTTCTTTACTTCCTGGCTGGAGATACCTTCAGAAGGAAGTTGTCACGAGCGACTAAAAAGACGTCCAGGAAGGGGGACACTGTCCTCCAGTCAAAAAGTGAGGAGACGGCATTGAACAGCTTGGCTGAGTACGTGGAAAATGGAGACCAGAGGCTGTGACAGGTCACTCCTGGTGTCCTGGACTATGAGTGGACATGTTTCAGCTCTAAAACTACTATCCACAAGGTCGTCTCTAAACAAATGCACTGTCTGGCCCACACAGCTGTGAGTAGACTTTACTGGAGGTTAGTTTATAGCACTGTGATAACCCATGCTTGCTTGCAGCCTGTGGATGTTGACAACTTGTGTTTTATCGTCCTGTACCGATGTTGTGTACTAAAATGTTGCTGCGATTACTCTTCATTCTTAGTGAGGAGTCCACGTTGCTCGTGTTCACACATAAACAGAACAGTCAGGGAGGCTGCAGGAAGAGAGTTCCCCACAGTCCACAATTCCCTGTTCATCAATTTGAGCAGGAAAAATGGGCCATGAGCAGAAAGCTCCTTCTCTAACCACTGAGGTGAAACCTAATCGATAGCTGTTCGGGAAAGTGATGGGAAAGTTTGTCAGAGGAATTGCACCTGCGACATCTCTTGGAAGACAAAATGCACTAAACCTGATTGTGTTGTATTAATGGGCCACACAGACACGGCCCACGTCCACAGTCCAGGGAAGTCTGTTTTATCTGCAAGGAACTGAATGTGATTTACTGTAGAGCCATATGGACTGCCTGTCTACATGGATTGGGTTGCTAACAGTGTAGACGTACTCCATGTTTGTAGTGTGGACCTCCGGCGTTGCAGAGGCGATGTACAGCCTGGTATACAGACTGTGTACTCTGCAGTATAACAGAATACATACAGCACTTAGAGGATCATGTTGTTGATGTTCGGCCTGTTAACAGTGATGTGTAATATTTAAAAGATTAAATTAATGGGGCCGAAGCACTTAGACTACCTGTGTCAAAGCCAAGGCCCGCAGGCCGAATTAGGCTAGGAGTTTAACATGCATAAAAGTCTATAGTATACAGTCCATACTAATGTTTACTGTGGGGTGGGTTACATGCAGTGTTTACAGAGAGTTAATTAAACTAATTTTACTAGGCCCAGAGTTTTGCTGCATTTTTAAGGTATGTTACCGTGGTTACTATGATATTACAACACATTGTGACAGGTGTAAATGATGTCAATACGAAGGTGGACGTGGTAATGAGGACTCATCTTAATGCACTGGTTTCAACAGTAATCACTGTTTACTTTAAACTCATTCACTGGATTGGCCGTGTCATCCAGTCATCGTGGTTTATCCTGAGTTGATTGAACGTCCTCTGTTCTACACTGGTAGAAATGTCACTGGAACACATTAGCTGTTCACGTGTGGCATTTGGGTGAGTCATGTAACAGTGACTCACGTTTATATTCACTTCATGTTCAGTGAAAGAACATGAATGTTGCATGTTCAAAATCTATTTTTGTCAGTATCAGCAGGTCTGACCCAGACCAGAGTACCGACCCAAACCTGTCAGGTTCATGATCTTTCTAGAACGTTCATTTGGGAAATGTTCTTCCCAAATTAGTTCAAACAAACATTTCTACTGTAAGGGGTAGAAATGTGCTTTTACAGTTCAGAGGAGGGTTCAGTTGTGTACCACACCGTACGTAGGCCACATATGAAGTGAACTGTACAGAATCTTCTGATGTCTGTGTCGTTAACAAACCCCTGTTCAATTCAGCGTCTCTGGAACCAAAAACCTTCGTGCACCAGTCCATATATAAATAAACGTTCACCAGTGAAACACTGATTAACCAGAGTGGAGCTAAACAACTGACAACAACAGGAAATAGCTCGAAAATGAGCACCGCACACACATTCTTGTCGTTGTAGCATTGTGAGTACACTCACTGATATAATGCATTCCCTAACACCAGTATTAAATACCAAATTTATAGGTCTATTCTGGATTTGGTTAACTGGTCACCATAAACTGACACAGGTGTGAATATGAGTGTGAATGGTCATTTGTCTCCATATATGACCCATATGTATGGTGATGGACTGGAGAATGTTCACATTGTGACCCCGACGCCCCCTGGCCTGGTGATCCTGTATCATCTTAGAATTGAGGTGGAGACAATAAATGCATTATTTTATTTTTCCTAGTGGTAGGAAGAGGATGTAACAACATTTGACTTTTTTTGTTTGTTGTAGACCAAAGTGTTGTTTTCACCTGAACTAGTCCTTCATAGACTTTAAGTCAAGGGGCGGGGTCTTCTTTGTGGAGGCGGCCATGTTGGATCATAATATTTTAGCAAAATAACTCATTATTTTATTTGATTAATAACTGAAGCCTGATGTGGTTTGGTGGTGGAGTTTTAGCAAGAATATTTAACGTCACCACTAGATGACGCTATTTTCTCCACAGTGCACCTTTAAAATGAACCGTCTGATGTGGTGTGGCGTGAATATCATCATGAATGTTGTTCCAAATGAAAGTGACGACAGTTGAAGACCACTGCCTCGTGACTCCATCCAAGTTGAAGTGTTTTTTTTTCCCT